AGAACTGCCGGGAGGTTTTAAAAAACAATTCATTAATTTTAAAATGATCCGAACTAAGCCGCTAGGAAATTGACTTCGGCAAGTGTAGTTATCGATATCATTATTAACTAATGTAATTATCGATATCACTATTATTGGCGTTAGCAACAGCAATATCAGTAGCGAAATTTCAGACATCAGCTTGATTGTTGAGTGGGATGGGATGGCAGCTCACTGCCAGTATATTTGCTTGCTGCTCAATAATAATGCTTTTCATCCAAGGCCTTCCTCCGAAGTGCCACTGTTTTGCTCTCTCTTTTCGCAAAAGGACAGCATTTGGCATTTTCTTGCGTGCCGGATGTGTTTTAATTAAATCGAGGCTCTTTTTTCTACAATGGACGAGCCAACTCCTATTTCGCTCGAACGCTGCTGCTCCTATCTCTTTTTCATGTCTAATCGGTCGGCTCTTATTTCGACTCCCGAAAAGGGGATTCAAATGAATCATTTTCATCTTCGTCGAACTGAATTTTTTAAAAATATTTTCTGGCCAAATAAGTGAAGGGGTCGCCCAAGCGGTTATTTACTTTCTCGTGTAAACCACTCGCTAATACGCAACATCCACCGATTTTCGACAAGGGGAGCAATAGACTCTACCGATCGGATTTTACTCTCTCTTCTGTAATAGCAATGATTTCCCGCACGCCGCTCATCTAAATGAGGTTCTCTTTGTTTACATGGTCACAAAGGGACATGCCAAGCACCTTTCGCTTCGTCACTCTCTTCTTAGAGCCAGCGCTTGCTCTTCAACTTTCATCAGCGACCATGCTTCGCATTTGCACGCTATTGCCTTCAACACAAGGCTGTTAAAAAGCTGGAAACGGTCCTTCCAAATTTTCCTGTATGCACAAGCTTAGCGTTAGATAGCACGGCAATCAGCTATGCGTTACCAAGCACCAGAATTACTGGAAGAAGAGGACTGCACTTCTTTTCGCGCCTCATCATCTTGTCCAGGACGAAGATATAACTCCTGCTATTATTTTTTTTTGAAAACTGGCTTGTTTTTTCGGCTGCTGCTTATCATGAGTGAGGCGAAATGTGTACAAACAGCTTGCAAATGCGGGGAAGCAAACTAGCCGGACAGTAATTTCTCCTATTCTGCATGACAGAAGGACCGTTGATAGTTTTGAGGTACTAAGTAATGGCTGTACCGGATCATGGTAGGCTCCCAAAAGTTTTGTCCAAAAGGGGAAGCGGAATCAAAGTCTAAGAAAACTAGTAGAGACCAAAATATGGCTGTTCAAGAAGATAATCTTTTTGTATTTTTGTAAGTATCCGCATTGTACTCATTCAGTGCTTTTAACATTTTTTCACCAACGATTTTTCGTCCGCCTCTCTCGTCGAAGGTATTGGTACTACCTTTTCTCGGGTTACATTAAACTCTATCCTTCAACACGTCTTATGCATGTGAATGACTTTGCATAGTGCTTCGAATATAGTTGACAAGTTCGCTTTTTCGATAATCGTTACAGCTGAGGTATATTCGGAGAAGCTGAGTTTGCTCCACATCGATCTTCACATTTTACTCAAGATTCTTAGCAGCCTTTTGCTTCTGGGGTTTTTGACAGTCGCCATAGGCGAAATCAAAAGCGAAGTGTTAGTACTCCCTAGTACTATGAACGCAGTTTTTTTTTTTATTTTTACAACTTCATATTTTCCATACTGTTTGTATGGGTGCATTGCATTTTTAATGTTTTGCTTGAAAATTGAGAAAATTTGGAATTCATTCGACTGACTGAGTAAACCAAAAACACCAAAATCTGGGGAGGCATGATTGCGCAATCTCTGTCCTTAATGCCCTCCTAAAAGTCAAGTCAGGGATGGCTGCTTTGTTGTCCGACTGAAGCAAGTCAAGAAAATAGAAAATTAACTAAATTATGTGGATGAGGAAAAAGCTCGTTTCATTTTGGTAGATGTATAGTGCACCCATTACGACTGCTCAATCATCACTTGCTAGACAATTCACTTGCAGACCACCATCTGGAGAAAACTATAAAATCGACAAAACATTTCGTTTTTTAACGTGTTGAAGTCCGTGCTACTATTACAGGGAATTCGAAAACAAGAAAACGAAAGATTTCTTTGTTGACTTGAATGTGGACATGATTATGATGCAGGGGTTATATAGTAACTAGAGGGGAAAGCGCGGCCTGGCATAACATACGTTTGGCAAGTGACTTAGAACCTGACCAATCTTGCTGGGAATGTACTTACTGAAGAAGTAGTTGTTGTGTGAACTTTTAAGGCATTTGAAGTGAAACCGAAAGTCGCCTAATTTTTATTTTTTGCCGAAATCACAATCTAGATAAATGCAAACTGTGAATGTAAAAAATGACCAACACCGGTCTAGTTTTCTATGTCAGAGTCTCGTTGTTTTGATGATTAGTCGAATCGGCGGATTTTTGGTTGTTATTACTGGCATATTATGTTTTGATCAGCCCGTCATTCAGTACTACATTTATTTAGAGAAGCTGAACTGCCTATGAGAGGGTTATTGTACAGCACAGCCTGATCTTGACGAAATTCTCATGCATGCCTTCACTTAGTGAATTCACCTAAGAAAGCACACCTAATGAATTCACAGAATGATCCTACCAAATTAAAGCATTTTTAACAAAGCTGTTAAATGAATTGATCCATCGGCCTACCAGTACATTATTTATGTTTCTTAAGCTTCGATTGCCGAATGCAGATCACTGGTGACTGACCTATATCTGGCAATAATCGTCACAGTCATTGGCATCAAGTTTCATGCCTTCTCAATCATATCTCTTTCGTGGCACTCCTTTTGCGGCTGGAGCCGTCATCACCAATCAGCTATTGTCGTTCTCCACCTGTGGCACTATCAGAAAATATTATCACTTGTCCTCCGAATACCTTTTCTCCTCGGTCCTCTGACGGGCATTTTGATTACCACTGGCCCCGTATGCCATGATTATTACAGCATAACCGTACCTTTACGCAACCCCTTCTCTCCCTTTTCTTCCCTTTCAGCTCATCATATCTTGCTTGTAGTACGACTCCTAACATTCCTTTTGCGAATGAGGGACTGTATACAAATAGGGTTTCCGAGCCTCATTTCCTTCCAGTACCTGTCGAAGTTTGCCCTGAAAGCTACTAAAACTAGCCTGTAGAACAAGCTAGGAGAGGAAGTAGTGGTCGCATTTCCGACAGAAAAGCAGGGAATTTTAGGGGCAGCCATGAATAGCAATTCTCATGATGTTTTTCTCTCTCGAGAGTTGCATGCGACACGAAGTGAAGGCAGCTTGCATGCTTTATTGGCGTGCACTGGCAGTCCGAACAGCGGAAATTCGCGGTAAAAACCAATCATTTTTCCTCTCTTGTTTTTGTGATATGTGAAAATAGGCTACATATTTTTTTTTTTTTTTTCGAGACGGTGTACTTTTTATTCAAGCAAAAATCAAAAAGTGCATATGTGAGCTACACTGCACAGCTGCTCTCGAAATCCCCAAACAAATATCATACGCAAATTGACCGGAAAGACGGGCGACTGGCCACTTGCCAAAACTTGTAGCACTACTTCGTTTTTTGTAATTCATCTCAAATTCAGACCTGAGTTAAGACCGTACAGATGCGCAACAAAGCACAAATACAAATGCGTGAAGCATGCGGGTAATTTGGAATAAAACGTAAAGGCTGTAGTACGCAGCAGTTTCTTTGAGTACACTTGTGGCGCTTAACCGATATCCGGAGGCGAGAAATTTTTAAAAATCGCAGGTGTAACGCTGTCGATACGGAACTGACTGGACTTCTTGGTGTGCACATATGACCGTAGGTTTCATTTAGAAAATGAAACCTATAACTATCTTCACCAGGACGCAGACAAAACATCAGCTGAAAGAACAATGCAACAAATCTTTGGGAACTCATGAAAAGAGCGGAAGAGCGTCCGGGATTTTTTGCGGAGAATTCGGTTTTTATGCGTTTTTGCTGTGCAGCACTACAGCAGCTACAGTCAGCAGAAACGCATATTGCAGAGGCTGTGTGTGTATGTGTGTGTATGTGTATGCATGCATGTGTGTGTGTTTGTGTGTGTGTGTGTGTGTGTGTGTGTGTG